TTTACATGGTATCAAGAGCCTTGAATCTCCTACGAAGTTTTTTTTTTTCCCTACCCACATGGCTTCCGCTACTACAGCCACAAACGATATAATCCAACTAAATGCCCCTACAAACTTTCCCATTAAACTCAATACCACGAATTTCCCAGTGTGGAGACGTCAAGTCCACTCCACACTTCTTGGGTTTAATCTTCTGGGTTACATCGATGGTACCACCACGAAACCCGCCAAATTCACTGATACTGCTCAAACTGCCGTTAACCCGGCCCATCTAATTTGGTACCGTCAAGACCAAATCATTGTCAGTGCACTTCTCGGTAGTTGTACTGACACCATACAACCCCTCATCTCCTCGGCTACGACAGCCCACGATGCGTGGCAACGTCTGATTGCTAGTTACGCCAATGCCTCTCGAGGACGTATCATATCCCTCAAGGCCAAGCTCACGAAAAATCCGAGAGGGTCTCGGTCCATTACGTCTTACCTCAATGACATGCGAGCCTTAGTTGATGATCTTGCGCTGGCTCAGTGTCCAGTTTCGGATGAAGATCTAATTGTTTATATATTAACTCAGTTAGGGGAGAGTACAACTCTATTATATCTGTCGTCCGTGTTCGTGAAAAGCCAATTTCCTTTGGTGAATTGACGGACGTGCTGACTGACCATGAACGTCAGCTGAAGGCAGCGGATGAGACGCGGCAATCGGTACTGGTTACTGCCAATATGACTCACCGTGCTTCGCCACCCCCATGGTCTAACCAGCAGTCAGCTTCCAACCGGATGGCCCGCAATAATGCCTATACTAATGGCGCCCACCGATAAAATTGGCAACAAGGGGGTCACAATCGCTCCAGTATTATTTGTAAGTTTTGTCATCTTACAGGTCACGAAACCAAGGTATGTCGCAAGCTAGCCAGATTTCTTAAAGAGCATAATGTTGTCCCTCTGCAACCGTATATGTCTCCTACAGCTAATGCTGTGACTGGGGCGTCTCCTCCCTGGATGTTTGATAGTGGGGCGTCGCACCATGTGACACCAAGCCTCGCTCCTCTGCAGACTTTCACCGAGTACAGTGGATCGAATGAACTACGCCTGGGTGACGGTAATTCCTTACAAATATCCCACATTGGCCAGTCTGTCATTCCCACTCCTTCTAATGTTCTCACTCTAGATAATGTCTTGTGTGTCCTACAGTTACACACTAATTTAGTTTCTGTTTCCCAATTATCCAAAACTAATCGTGTGTCTGTTGAATTCTTTGATTCTCATTTTTTGGTTAAGGAACTTCGAACGGGGATTCCACTGCTACGGGGGGCGAACATTAATGGTGTCTATTTTGGACCAGTTGTCTCTCACCTAATAGTTCATACTACGCAGTTGGCTCGTTTGTCTCAGTGGCACCAACAACTCGGCCACCCGTCAAATAAGGTGTTGCAACTTGTGTTGCAACGCTGTAATGTTCCAGTCTCCATGTCATCTCTGCAAAATTTTTATTGTTCCTCCTGCAATGTTCATAAAAGCCATAAACTGCCTTTTTCTAAAAATACACTTGTTAGCACTAAACCTTTGCAACTTGTTTATATTGATGTGTGGGGACCTACTGAGTACTCTATTGATGAATTTCGCTATAATGTCATTTTTGTAGATCACTTCTTAAAGTACATTTGGCTGTACCCCATGAAACGTAAATCAGATGTGTTTCCAATATTCATTCAGTTCAAACAGCTAGTGGAAAAATATTTTAGCCTGTCAATTGTTTCTGTTTACTCAGATAATGGGGGCGAGTTCATGAGACTTGGGCCGTTTTTTAATACTCACGGTATCTCTCATTTCACCACCCCGCCACACACCCCTGAGCTCAATGGTGTCGCCGAGCGACGGCACAGGCATGTCGTGGAAACTGGCATGTCTCTTCTTCACTCCGCGTCTTTGCCATCCTCATACTGGACCTACGCCTTTCAGACAGCCGTATATCTTATTAATCGGCTCCCTACTCCGACTTTAGGTAACCAATCCCTGTTTTCTGTCTTGTTTCAACAATTGCCTAATTATGCCAAGTTACAACCCTTTGGTTGCCTATGTTTTCCCTGGTTGCGTCCCTATAACACCAAGATACTACAACCAAAGTCACGTCCATGTATTTTCCTTGGCTACTCGAACAGCCAATCCGGTTATAAGTGTCTAGATTTTGGTTCGAATAGTATTTATGTATCTAGGCATGTGAGATTTGTGCCCCATGTGTTTTCTTATAACGATTTGCAAAAGTCTTCTAACAGCTTACCTTCTGATTCTCATGATTCAGAATCACGCAATATTTTGTGCAAGTCGTCTCCTTTGTCTACACAGGTTGAGCCCGTGGGTGTTCCAAAACCAATTCCAACACCAGTCCCAACACCGGTTCCAACTCCAGTTCCAACACCCGTTCCAACACCCGTTCCAACACCAACTCCAACTCCAGTTCAGAGTCCAGTTCCAACACCATCACCGTCAGATGTGTCCAATTCGTCGTCTCCCACTGTCTCAGAAAATGGTCAACATGCAACCCAATCCGTGTCTGATTCACAACCTATCTCCACATCTGACACGTCTCAACCGTTGCATAATGTTCGCCGTTCCACCCGGGAGCGTCGTCCTAATCCCTGATATTCCGATTATGTCATTAATCAAGCCACTTCTCATCCCCTGCCTCCTACTTTAGAACCTTCTACCGTCGCCCAGGCTCTTAAAGACGCTTGGTGGAGGAAAGCAAAGGATGAGGTGTTCGAAGCGCTGCAACGTAACAACACATGGCAACTAGTTCACCGTGGCGCAGCTGTTCCGATTGGCTGCAAATGGGTCTTCCGTGTTAAGCGCAAATCGAATGGGTCGGTTGATCGTTTTAAAGCGCGGCTTGTCACTAAGGGGTTTTTGCAGACTACTGGACGTGATTATTTTGAGACATATAGTCTGGTTATGAAACCGATCACGATCCGTATTGTTCTAACCATTGCTTTGAGTAATCGTTGGGGTCTGCGCCAGCTAGATATAAATAATGCGTTCCTTAATGGAACATTGCACGAGGATGTGTTTATGGAGCAGCCTCCCGGGTTTGTTGATCCGTCATTTCCATCTCATGTATGCAAACTGACCAAAGCCTTATATGGTCTTAAACAGGCTCCCAGGGCTTGGTACTTAGAACTTTCCCAGTTCTTGTTGCGTTGTGGGTTTTTGAAGTCACAGGCAGATGCGTCTTTGTTTGTTTATTCTGCTAATGATATTATTGTTTATTTTCTGGTGTATGTCGATGATATTATCCTAACAAGAAACAATGTTGCGTGGCTTGACAAGTTTGTTGGAATTCTGTCCGCTCAGTTTGCTCTTAAGGACCTGGGTCTCTTGCATCATTTCTTGGGTATTGAAGTAGTCTCGACTCTTAATGGCATGTTCCTGTCTCAGAGTCAATATATCACAGATCTTCTGGTTCGGTTTAAGATGGATGGTGCAAAGTCTGTTTCGACACCATTGGCTACTACGGGCAAGTTGCTACCTGCGCAGTCTGGTAGTGTTGCGGTGGATGTCACTCAATTTCGGCGTCTCCTTGGTGCATTGCAGTACTTGGTCATCACTAGGCCAGATGTATCATATGCAGTTAACCGTCTCTCGCAGTTCATGCATTCACCGACAGAGCTGCACTGGCAGGCGGCCAAACGGTTGCTACGTTATCTAAAAGGAACAGTTTGTCATAGGTTGTTTCTCCGCACTGGGCAACCACTGTCGCTGAGTGTTTATACAGATGCTGATTGGGGCGGTTGCACTACCGATGGCCGTTCCACCACCACATACTTGTTGTATCTTGGTGCTAATCTTGTTTCTTGGAAGTCCGCCCGCCAGAAGTCCGTGTCACGCTCGTCGACGGAGTCTGAATATTGAGCCTTGGCGAATGCTGCTGCAGAGGTCTTGTGGATAAAGAATCTGCTTCACGAGCTGCGAGTGCAACTAGTGAAACCACCAGTTATGTTCTGTGACAACCTTAGTGCGACATATGTGTGCAGAAATCCGGTTTTCCATTCACGTATGAAGCATCTGGCACTGGACTACTTTTTTGTTCGTGACTTAGTCTCTAATGGTTCTCCGGTAGTGCGGCACATTCCTTCGTCGGCTCAGCTAGCTGACTTCCTCACAAAGCCGTTGGGCCGCTCTTTGTTTCTTCTATTCCGTTCCAAGATTGGAGTCTCCAACGGATCCTCAATCTTGTGGGGGCGTGTTAAGGATATGTGTGGCTGACATTTTATCTCTTTATATTTGTGGTAGTTATGTTCCTGTAGAATAGGTGTGTTGAACAAGTTGTTACAACCTCCTACTATTCTCCCTCTCTTGTACACTATTTATAGCTCATTATTTTACATCAATAAAGTACAATTTATAATCTTTACAATTTTTTGTTTTTTGGTGGTTTCCTAGATAATGTTATTTTGTTGTGATTTTTTAAATATAAATTTGCAATGAATTTTTGTTTGTTTTTTATGAAGGATTATAATGTGTGTGGACTTGTGGAGTTTCTTGTGGGAAACCAATGTTATTTTGCTTTGAAGGATGTTTTGTTACAATTGTGATACTTTGGTTGTAATTATTTTATGTTTTTGAGCAATACTAGCTGTGGGGTTCTTCTATTATAACTACTTAGGAATAAAAATAAAATAAATCATGAGAGCTTTTAAAGTTATTTATTTTGAATCTTATGACTTTAATTAGTTATTTTGATATTTTATTAGTCATTTATTGATTATACTGAAAATTATTATTATAAATGCTATTATATCTAAACAAATTTATTAAAATGTTTAATTATACAATTCTACTCACTTTTTGGAAAATGAACCAAACACACCAAATAATTTTTCAAAATACAACTAAACACGAGAAAGAAAAATATTTTCTTAAAAATGACTCATTTTCAAGAAATTATTTTCTTAGTTTCCAAACAGGCAAACACACCATAAAGTCAAGAAGTTACTATCAAACAACTCAAAATTTAAACTGGCTGCTCTTTCTATTGAAATTACAAGTCAATAAATAGAAATCGTGTACTCAGTATATAATTGATGAAGTAAGAAGATAAAAAAGTTAGCTCTTACTACTACAAAAGTAAAACAACAAAATTGCCAACTAGCTACTATGGCTCAAAGTAGACAACATGAATGGAATGGACTCTGTCATGAATTACAGAGATCCAAGTGAGTTGCGTCGTCTATAGCATCTTCCACTTGTGCTCCAGAGCATTAGTTATCATTGATATACAGTACGCGGCGCTCAGTGGATAATCAGAAACTGCAGAGATATCGTTAGAGAATCAGATGGTTGGAGAAAAGATGTTCGGGTTTGGTGCTACATTTCTAAACAGCACTCAAACCCCTAGCACAAGCGCTATAGAAATTTATACGTTCTTGGTATTTCTGGGTAGCTTTTGCTACATGGATTGGATGGCCGCCTCGAGTGATGCATTAATGCCCGAGGCAGGTAGCACAGCACTGGAAGACCACAACATTCAACGTCCAACTTCATTTTGTTGGACGGAAGTTGGCATCTACTAGGTTGAATAAGGTGAAATTTCTACGCATAAACTTGAACCCAAATTTTGAAAGATGACTGGGAAAATTGGGATTTTTAATGCAACTATATTTCGATTTTTAAATCACACTATAAAGATGACTGGGAAAATTGGGAATCGTAGTTTTAGGAAAAAACAAGGATAAGGACCAACTGACTTGATATATATTATAAGGTTAGTATCGATTTTTTTTTTAAGGAAAAGATAAAGACGGGAGGAAGCAACTTACTTGATATATAATCTTCAACGTAATCTTTATCAATTTTCCCATGGGCCATTGCGCCAACCTGGAAAATCGCCAGGATATTAAACTGAGAGTTCCAAACAACAAATCAAATTTATGTACAAAGAATTATATTTTTCCATACCACGAAAACAAGGTTCATATCACTGTCAACATTAGCAACATAGTCATGAATGTCAACCAACTTCTCAGAACTGTGAGAAAAGCCTGTCCAATGTAAAGAGAAAAAGGACACGAAGAGGGAAGGGGACAAATTAATTATTCGCCAGGCTTTCAATTGGGTAAGAAAGCAACTAAAGGAGGAAGTCAGTGATTACCAATTTTTCGACAATCTATAGGTAGATACTGTGTAACAGGATTCTTTATGACACGTAGTAACTTTTCTCTCTTACCAACAGCAGTAATATTCAGCTTCTGTAGCAATTGCACTGCAATCATTCGAATAACATTAGAGAATGGAGCAAATGGAATAAGCTATCTGAAAGGAAGTGGAAGGCATATGAAATTAAGGGGGGAAATTACTAGAAACAAAGAGTAATAAGAACTTACACATGATACCAGAAAATCGCTTAAATGTCCTAGGGATACGAACATGAGGTTTAACTTCAAATAGAACACCCTTTTCTGTCCTCACATACAAAGCTTTCAATCTCCCAGCCTTATTTAAGCGGCTATCTAAAATCATAAGCATTGCCTAATAACATTAAAACAGAAAATTAATAGTCAATAAAACTCATGTTAGAAGCACACTTTCCAGTAGCAAACATGGACACATTTTTGCTGATCCCATATGTTATAATCAGTAAATGATTTTAACTCCATAATCCACAGTGTGTCAGTATGGCAAGCACTACAACTTGCTGGCAATGGTTCATCTATTTGATGTGGTAAAAATAATCATGTAAGCAACCTGGTTTCCATTATTCAATAATCTAAAATGGAGGTGATAGAGCACATACATCTGTCACATTTCATTAAAATGAAAGGGGTTTCCATAGCAAGAGTTGTAACAAAAACACGCAAGGAAAAAGGCTTGCATCCGCCAATCCACCCAACCAAGTAACGACTATAGCAAAACAATTACTCTGTCCATTCTGATTTCTATTGCATTGAGCAAGCATGTCGATAACCCACACATAAAACATTTATTGCCCACACATAAAACATTTATTCATTTAAGCAACAGGGCTAACTGTAATACGATCCTCGGGTTAAAAAAACCAATTCATTAAAATTCTTCTTTCAGACACCACAAAAATTTCCCCTTGAAGTTCCTCTTTCTGGAAGCCAGAGCCAAGTTCACATAAAATATAGATAAAACACTCATGGTGCCAAAAAATTTCATTTAGTAAGCACCCTGCAAAAGTTCCTAGCACAGTGATTTAGCAGCAACGTTTGGGCTACAATACTAAAATTCAATAATCTAGGGCAAGCAATACCAAAATTTACTAACCTGATGAGCAATATCAGGTCGATACTCAGCAGGGTTTCGGTTATTTCGCTTCAGAAAGTTGGAATGCTCATCTGAGTTGAGAAGTTGGTAAGTCTGCATCAATGAGAGAAGAAATGTCAAGTGAAACACATTAAGATATAATCCAAAGGAGTATAGTTCATCCTTTCCTCCAGGGTGAAGGAAAAGAAAGGGGCATGAACAAGATGGGGAGTATTGACCTTGATTTAGTATAACATATTTTCACAGTTAGTACTTGAAGAAAAAAAATTCAGGTCCCAATCAGTTGAAGAGACAATTATCAAATCATAATTAAGTTGTGCCCACAAAGATGAAGAGCTCAAACAAGCATTGTGTCAAGAAAGGGACAAAAATAGCACTAAAGTTTCAGACCTTAGACAAACCTTTCCAATTTTGGCAATCTCCAGTGATGCCCTCTCCAGAATGAAAATGATCCCAGGCTTTTTGCTCTGTTCAGCTGAAACAACTGGAATACCAGCTAGTAAATCTACCACCTTCTCAGCTTCCTCTTCGTCTGCTGCAGTACCTTCGGTCTTGGCCTTTTTACTGGTCTCGGCTGTTTCCTCATCCGAAGATTGCTCTATTTCTTCCCTATCATACTTCTCCTCCTTCTTTTTCCTCTTCTGCCCTTTCAACTTGTAAGCCCGGACCATTTTCAGCTGCTAAGCGTGACCTGAAGACGCCATAGGTTCCATACAGAGCAAAAGATGAAACCATCAATACAATTCATTGTTCCAACGGAATTCATGGTTCATCACAAATCTTAACAACCCAGGAGGCCAGGATTAGTAAAGAAGAGAGGGTTTAACTTCATCCCTTATTGTTTAACAGAAGAAAGTTCAGAACTTGAACTGATTTCATTCAAATTTCAGTTACAAAACAACCAAATAGACATTCCGGTATGCACATAAAAAATAAAAAATAAAAAATAAAAACATAATTCCTTGGGAAAGAGAGGTACCAAGTTAGGACAAAGAAACAAGCCCTAGCGAAAGAGAGAAGCTGAACGATGAAGAAAACCATGGCGCAGCTGGAAATAGCGAATTATGCAAAGCAAAAAACAGTATTTCACTTCTACCGACTCTACACAACTACGTGCAGCACTGTGATTGTTTTCTCTCCGAGAGGGAATCCAAAGTTGGTTGGGTCCATTAATGGTCTGCAATTGGACTATAATTGGGCTGAGAACATGTTTTTTGTTTAAAGAGGGCTGAGAACATTTTCTTGAATTTTGGGTCTGAAAATTAGGGTCAATCTAGCACATTCCAAGAGTCAACTATATATATGAACCAGCATTTCTACCGTGTCAAATAACCAATTGAAATTTTTGTCCATCATAACTGACTGAAATATAAGCTATAATTGACTGAAAAATCGATTTTCAGTTTCGGTCGGTTACCAAAAACCAGAAAGTTATCCAATTTATAAATCATGGGCAAAAATGTAAGGAAAAGAAACCACTCTTAACATAAATACAACAATTCTTCCTCCCATTTCTGTCAATTAAAAGGAACCACTGATGGAATAAGCTAACTAATCTTTAACCCAATGATATGGGTTCATATCTCCACCAAGTCTTAACAAGCAAAAAATTCACAGTGAACCTTGAGCAATTAGTTGTCTCTTAATTACTATTTACTGGTATCTAAACTCTGGTTCTACCTCCTTCTCACTCTCCAACCCCCTACTAGTATCTAAGCTAATCCTCAGGGAACTTGATTGATACCAGAAGCAAACGCAAAAAATAGAAACATACAACATTGAAAAAAATACGATACACATAAATGGCTACGTAGCTTGTGGTGGAGGAAGAACCTGGAGAATGCGAGAAGCGCGAGGGCGGAGCACCGGACTCCGGCGGCGGCGCGGAGGAGCAGAGCAGTGGAGGCGTGGTGGGCTGGTGGCGTCAGGCGTGGAGGAACTGAATCACTGAATAAGGGATTCCAAGAGAAATAGGGAATGAATGGATTAGGATTTAGGGCTATTGGTTTTCAGAAAAAAAGGATTTAGGGCTATTGGATATTTTGATGGGATGGGCTTAGGTATTGGGCCATTGGCAGAGGGAAATTAGGGAAGCTCTCGGTTGGTTGACCCAATCTCGGCAAATTATATTATGCACCGCGCGTCTTTTTTTTTAAATGAAAATTAACAGTGTTTATTTTCGCCGTTTCGCACCCTTTTGCAAAATGTAACTCTGTTATTCAGTGTCATTTTGTATACACTGCAGTTTCAGTTGAACACAACTACAGTTTCATTTCGATATAACTATAGTTTCATTCGATATTTATAGACTCAAATATGTGAAAATGTTATTTAATTTTATTTTATATACACTATAATTTCATTAAAACACAACTACATGATCATTTTGATATAATTACAGCTTCATTGTACAATATACACTCAAATATGTGAAATGTTATTCAGTTTCAGTTTATATACACTGCAGTTTCATTTCACTATAACTACAGTATCATTTTGATATAACTGCAGTGTCGGTTTGAATATACTGTAGTGTCAGTTAGTGTTTAATACACCAAACAAGCGGACTCCGTTAACTCTAACGGCGGACCGTTTCTTTACTTAAAGAAACGACGTCGTTTTTGACCGCGGTGCACATGCACCGCGGTCTATAATATAACGACTGCCCAATCTCGGCAAATTGTGCTGTGGAACTGTGTCCATCTTGCAAGGTGGACACAGTTTCAAAACTGTTCATAATTATGAATATACAGTTGTGAACATAATTATGAACATATAGTTCTGTAATTATGAATATAGAAATTGGATGATTGTGAATATGGAGTTCAAAAATTATGCATATATAATTTTATAATTATGAATATATAATTCTGTAATTATGAACATAGAGTTATGTAATTGTGGATATAGAGTTTAATAATTATGAATATAAAGTTCAAAAATTATGAATATATAACTTTATAATTATGAACATATAGTTCTCTTAAAGTCTAGTAGGGAAATTCTCAATTGTTATGCCATGGACCTGAATCCACCTTGCAAGGTGGACCCGTGTCCAAAACGACGCAGTTTTGTGTGTCTGGAATAACAGTGCCGTTAGTAGTATTGTTTTCTCAACTAATGATTTATTTTATTTATTGTTTTTGTAAATATAGAGTTCAAAAATTGTGAATATAGATTCAAAAATTGTGTTATACAGTTGAATATAGAGCTCCGTAATTGTGAATATAGAGTTATGAAATTGTGAATATAGAATTCTGTAATTGTGAATATGGAGTTCTGTAATTGTGAATGCAAAGTTCAAAAATTGTGAATATTGAGTTTTTTAATTTTGTATATTGAGATCTAAAATTGTGAATTTTCAAAACGACGCCATTTTGAACCCAGGTATACAGTATAATTTGCCGGAGATTCTTCATTTCATTTTATTATTATGGATATTAAAAAATTTATGAATTTTTATTCTTATGTGTCTTTATTAATTAACTTTCTGCAGTTTGCTTTTGTGCCTGATTGCGTGGAGTGGTTTTCGAACTTCCCCCATATCCTTTGTAATGTTCTTCGTTTGGACTTAATGGAATAGTGTTGCTTTTATTTTTTATTTTTTTGTTTTTTTAAGAGTTTGGAAGTTTATATTGTAAAATTTTAAGAAAAATACAGTTAATGGTCCCTCAAATTCTTAAAAATTAATTTGTACCACACATAAAGCATAATAATTAATTAATTGTGGTTGCCTGTGCAAATCTTCTGGAACCTAAGGCCAAATATAATAAAATAATAAAGGCTCGTGCAATACCGTGCAGTCCACACGCAGCAGACATGCCCACCATAGTCTTGTGCTTGCTGAGTGTGTGCAAATCTAATAGGATGCCCAATAATATTCTACATTATCTGTTTTGGGTTTTTAATAATAATAAAAATAATTTATTCCTTTTTAATAATAATAAAAATAATTTATTCCTTTTAAATAACAATAATAATAATAAATTATTATTAATATTTAATATATTTTATGTTGGATTGCATTTCCTTCATCAGTTTATTCCGTTCCCATTACAGTGGGGTTTGGTAGCTTAATGTTTAATTTATTTTACTTAATATAATATTAATGGTGGAGGGTTATTGTTGTCTATTTTTCTTTGTCCAATTGACTCACTTTTTTATTTTTTATTTTGTTTTGTTTTGTTTTGTTTTTATTTTTGGATTTTTGGCAAGGTGGTCAGAACTCAGAAGTATATTCCAGGATATATATAGTACAACGTAGTACGTGTAGTTCGTGGCATTTAATGATTTAAGTATGGAGTAATAATAGTTTAGTGGGCATGAGCTCTCCTTTGGCAACCACTGCTATACCCGTGGCCTAACAATTACTTTGTAAGTGCATCACACGCATATATATATATATATATATATATATATATATGATAATACTTAAACGATGGGAAATTGGAAAGAATGGTTAGGGATCGAGTCTCATCAGCGACAGTGTGTGAGTAACCTCTCAAAGTGAGGGGGTTCTTTGACGCAGTAAGCAAAGGTCTAACCTATGTGATTCATGTTCAGTTGAGTTACCATGATTTACATCATATCCTTCCAGATGCTCTGTCGGGCCGGAGTGTGGGGCCTTTAGAGTTGGGGTTCAACATTTTGGAAAGAATGATAATACTTAAACTACTATGGGAAGGTAAGATTTCTTGTCGGTTAAGATTTAGAAACTATATATATATATATATATATATATATATATATATATATCATGTAATTGATAGAGTTCTTAATGTAGCATGTCCATATTTTATTACGTTGTGTGTGTATTTTGTAAAATATGCTTTGTCAAAAGTATAAAGAGATGAGAGTGCAATTTAACAGAGCACATAGTATTGCAACTTACTATTTTTGTAAAACTTTCCTATTAATATATGATAACTTTTACGGTGCCGTCTTTTGACACTAGCAACATGTTGTATGTGGTACAATCTCACAAATGTATTAAGATGTATTGAGTACTGTTATTCAGTACAACTCACTATACTTACGTGTTCGTAACTTCGTATCATATATAACAAAATTAAACGCTAATACTAATTAACATACACTTTAAAGTTTTCAAAGAGACAAAGAATAAAAATAAAGATTTTTATCACGGTCTCCATTTAAACACTTCTTTAAATTAAGAAAAAAGAAAATTAAACTTATTATTTTACTCAAAAGATGAGTAATAAAGAAGATTAATTGCTCTTGGCACACTGCCATCTGATGTGGGGCTCATGCTAGCAACACTCAATTGCACTCTTAGTTGAATATTAATCAAATGTTTGAGATTTTAATATACTAGGTTAACATTGGTGGGAAGTTTTTTAAAAAATGAAATTTGATAACAACTTTATATATATATATATATATATATATATATATATATATATAGAAGAATAACAACTTGATATTTTAATAAATAAAATCAAATGTAATTGTGAATGATGACGGAGGTGGATGCTAGTAGAGTAATTGAATATAAGTTCGCCTCACAATCAATTTTATCAAGTTGTCGAATCGATGTTAGTTAACAACATTATATCGATCTTTCACTTTTTGAATTGCTTTTAACATGCTCAATTTATGGAGTTAGTGATGCGTTAAAAATTCAGATCAATATATAAGATTCATGTCAAATAAAATCTATCATCGATCATGAGTTAATTTTTGCATTGTGATATATAAAATTTGATTCGTATTATTTAGTATCAAAGCTATATTAATGAGTTGAATTGAATGCAATTAAGCTACTGCGAAGCCTCATTATGCAAATCATCACCCCTGCAACTTTAAGCGGGTGAGGATGGCGTCCAACATCCCCTACTAAAATTATGTAGTGTCTAAATTTTTATTTTTATATCATTTCCTTTATGAAAGGAACCAAATTAATTAAATTGAGGTTATTTTGGAATATATGATGAATATTCAATCTAAGTACCCTAAATATTTAATTTTTTTTTTATTACAGAGAAAGGGGAATACTCATACAATCTACGCCTACACTAAGCCTCGAAACCTAAACCTCTCACATAGAAGAGCAATCCAATACCAGTGAACCACAAGTCACTTGATCCTTATAAATATTTAATTTAAAAGTGATGGACGATATTATTGACTAAAAATTAATAAATATTACACCAATAATCATACAATTTACGGAGTAAATCATTTGGGACATCTCAATTGTTATACCATGAATATGAGTCCACCGTAGATCGTGGATCTTGATCTAAAATAATATTTAAATTTTGTATCTGCAGTAAATATATTATGTACTTTTTGTTAATAAATTATGTATCTATTCCTATTAACATATTATTATGTAAATCAGTACATGCAATTAAGATATTATGTACATGCATTAGTGAATTATTTACATGTTATAATTAATGTAATGTACTATGTACTTTCAGTTTATTACATGACATAATTTGTTCATTGGAGATATATAATCTGAATACTGTTTTGGATAGGATCCACAATGCAATATGGACCATATTTTTTTTTTTTTTTTGAAACAAAGAAGCAACTTTCATTAACAACGTAAAACATCAACAATACAAGTAGGTGGGATCATATTCCACTCCCCGGAGACAGCCTCCGAAACGGTCGCTCGAGCAAGCTCGTGAGCTACACGGTTCGCTGTTCTCTTAGCATGGACCACTTTTACAGAGCCCATATCAGTAGCAATCGATAAGCATTGCTTTACAATAAGACCTACGTAGGAAAGATTAACATTGCAGGAATTAAAAGCATTACAAAAGTTTAAACAGTCCGATTCCAAAAGCCAGTTCGCCTGGCCTTGCGTCTTCATCCATGAGAGTGCCTCTTTGGCAGCAAGAACCTCAGCTAGAAACGGATCATCAATCCCCTCCAACCAGCCACTCTTCGCAGCAGTGAAAGTGCCACCATGGTCACGTACTACCGCCCCAAAACTGGCGCCGGTGTCGAAAGTAGCCGCGTCAACATTACACTTCATGGCTCCGCGTGGAGGTGGTGTCCATCGCTCGGGTTCCGCAGTGCGGCAAGAAGGACGTTGCACCGGAGCGTAAGTTGCCATCCAGGTTGTCTGGGAGTGCAAAGTACGCTTGTAGGCCTCCTCCACGGACACAGCACTGTCATGCCAAACAATTTCGTTCCGGATACACCAGGTGGTCCAGAAAACGGTCGCTAGCTTCACAGCCTTGATTGTACTTGAGGTACCTATTGTTTCGTCCATGAAAGTCAGACAGCTCCTCCCTTGTAACACGTCATTGGTCCCCCACGCACGACATGCGATCAGACACTCACATAGCAGATGTTCCATTGTCTCTGTTGTATGACCGCAAATTGGGCAGCCACCACCTATCCATACATTTTTCCGGTGTAGATTCTCTCGTACGGGTAGTATGTTTCTCGCGCAACGCCACAAAAATTTTTTAACTTTAGGTGGGATCGGTAACCCCCATAATTTGTTCCACGAGCGGAAGTCAGTCAGCTCCGTGGCTTCAGGTTCGGCATGTATCAGTAAATCATATCCGTGTCGCACCGTGTACCTTCCCTGAATGTCCCCCAGCCACCGCCAATTGTCGCTAACATGGGTGTTGATCGGTGTTGAGAGAATACGTCTTACGTCCACATCCAGAAATATGTCGCGTACAATATCCACATCCCATCGTCCTTGAGCGTCAAAGAGGCCCCTAACTCTGGCCTCCCGGAGGTGTTATGCGCATGGTGTGTGTAGCGGTTCATTATTAATTCCGGCCAACCAATTCCAGCCCCAGATTTTCGTGTCCAGGCCATTTCCGATACGTCGCGCAATGCCCAACTTTAGCACTTGTTGGCCAGCCATGATGCTGCGCCATATATAACTCGGGTTTGTGCCTATTTGTGCACTCATAAAATCAGTGGTGGGATAGTACTTTGCCTTTAGTATGCAGCTAGTCAAAGAATCTGGATAAATTAACAACCGCCAACCTTGCTTAGCCAATAAAGCTAGATTGAACTCGTGCAATCTCTTGAACCCCATGCCACCTTCCGCTTTCGATTTGCACATCCGGGCGCAGCTCAACCAGTGTATACCTCGGCTTCCCGTCCCTCCACCTCCCCACCAGAAGCGGTTGAATAATTTTTCTAACGTGTCACAAACACGTAAGGGGAGTAAGAAGGATGACATGGTAAAGATTAGGAGTGCCTGGGCTATACTTTTGAGAAGGACTTCCTTACCTGCACGGGATAGGAACTTGTGCATCCATATGCCAATACGGGTTCGTACATTCTCCTCAATATACTTGAACGTGGCAGTTTTGTTGCGCCCTAGGAAAGAGGGAAGGCCCAAGTAGCGCCCCAGGTCGGTAGCGGCACGAACACCCATGTAATCAGAAACTGACGTTCGCACATCGGCTGACGTATTAAGACTGTACACTGCACTGGATTTCTCGTAATTAATAAGTTGACCTGAAGCCTGGCAGTATAAGTCTAAGCACTCCTTAATTCGCGTAGCTTCGTGCTGTGTAGCCCTGAAAAATAATAAGCTGTCATCAGCGAAGAAAAGGTGAGTGATAGCCGGGGCCCCCCGCGCTACCCTCACCCCGTGAATATCGCCCCGACTCTCAGCTTGTTGCAGTAGGATAGACAAGCCTTCAGCACACAGAATGAACAGATAAGGCGACAGTGGGTCACCTTGGCGTATACCCCGGGTGGGACACACCTGGCCCACAATCTCCCCATTTACAAGAATAGCATAACGCACCGTGGTAACACACAACAATATAAGCTCTGTCCACCTCCTGTCAAACCCCAACGCCCCCATCATACCTTCCAAAAAGGCCCACTCCATCCTGTCGTACGCTTTAGCCATGTCTAGCTTTAGCGCTACCCAACCCATAAGGCCCCCAGTTTTCCTCCGCAGAAAGTGTCCAATCTCGTTGGCTACTATAATATTATCAGTTAGCAAACGCTCGGGCACAAACGCACTCTGCGATTGTGACACCACTCGTTCCAGCCACCCCTTTAAACGATTGGCTAACATTTTAGCCAGCACTTTGTAGACAACGTTACAAAGTGCTATCGGTCTCAAATCAGCAACTTTCTCCGGGACCCTTTTTTTCGGGATGAGTACAATGTTTGACTCATTTAGGCCTGACGGCATGCATTTGGTTTCCACACAATTAATAATAAACATTGACAGATCATGCCCTATCACTGGCCAAAAATGTTGAAAAAACGCCGGGGACAGCCCATCCGGTCCCGGGGCTTTTTCAGGGGCCATGCCAAAAAGAGCGGTTTTCACATCCGTTATTGTGAACGGCTGTAATAATGAGGAATTCATTTCCTCCGTAACCCGTTGACGGACACTGCCAAATAAGTCCGGGCTATTTGCCCCGGAACAAAATATAGAATCGTAGTACCTGAGGATTTCCGCGTGCATCTCAGGCCCGGTTTGCCAGGCATCTGTTTGATCCTTGAGTTGGGTCAGTGTATTGCGCCTGCGGCGCTCCGTCGCGGCTTTATGAAAATACTTCGTGTTAGCGTCCCCGTGGCGTAGCCAGAGTTGCTTGGACCTCTGCTTCCAGAAAATCTCTTCGGCCCGGCACAATGTATCCAACTCACCTTCAGCGGCTAAAAACTCCGCCACCCCCGTATCAGTTCGGTCCTCCTTCAATCTGGCTAATATTTGTCGTAGTTGCCGTATTCTGTTGCCGAAACGTTGATGATGCTCTCCGCCCCACCGCCATAGCCGCTCGCTACATACCGCGAGCCGTTCTTGAAAATTTTGCCCCGACGATATTCTCCAGGCTTCGTCAACTACTTTTGCGCAACCCTCCTCTAGGAGCCATGCTGATTCGAAACGGAACACCCGCAAGGCTGTGCGCACGGCTCTTGTCTCGATATCAACAAATATCGCACAGTGAGCCGATTCATGCATATAAGTGTGACTGACCTGTGCATCATCATATATTTCCAGCCAGCTCGTCGTTGCTACCGCTCGGTCCAACCTCTCTTCTACCCATGCATCAGTTCCACGACCCTTTACCCAAGTAAAACGACCTCCTGTCATCCCCATATCATTCAATTGGCAGTCTTCGAGCACATCATTAAAATCCTCCAATAGTGATGTCGGATGTGTATGATGTCCCCTTTTCTCTGATAGACAAGTGATGTCATTAAAGTCACCTACAACCATCCACAGCAGAAGTGAACGGTCCTTTAATTGGCGTAGGAGATTCCATGTAATGTGCCGGCGTATTCTGTCCGATTCTCCGTAAAAACACGTAAGCCTCCACACCGGTTTCCCCGGGATGGTGATTTCCGCGTCAATATGATTTACTAAGTAGTCCCAGATAGTAGTGACAGCAGAGTCACGCCAAAACAAAGCAAGTCCCCCTCCCATTCCAACTCGATCCACACAAAAAGCTCTTTCAAAACCCAATTTCACGCGAACCTGTTCCACTAAACCACTGGTCGCTTTCGTCTCCATTAAGAAGACGAACATGGGCCGCTGCTTGGACACAATGCCCAATAGCTCTCGAACTGTCCGGGTGCCGCCCAAACCCCGGCAGTTCCAACTGAGTAGACTCATTGTGCTGGGCGAGCCTGGCCCACCAGACTCGCCTTTTCCGGGTTTTTTGATGATTCCATCATATGCACGTCCTCAGCCAGCATAGTATTTGTTTGCAGCATGTCCTCCCTACGCCTCTTCAGCTCACCTTGTAATCCATCCTTTTCTGTTGTTGCCACCATATCCACAGGGAGCGGGCCAGCAGCGATGGTTGTATCTACCATCATACATGGGCTCGATTTGGACAACAGCCACCTCGCCCCAACCTGCCGCATCTGTCTCCTTGGGCTTGCCCGCATCCAGGCGCCAAACGGGAAGGCTTCCGGTAGCACACCCTGCTCATAAACTACCTTGAAAAACTTGTCTGAGTGCCCGAGAATGCCGCAGCAATAGCAGAAAGTGCCAAGCCGCTCGTACCGGAAAGTGATCCACTAGGAAGATCCATCTCTTCGGATCAATCTCATGCGGCGCTTTAGAGGTGTCGACACAGACAGCCGGACGCGAATTCTATAGTAGCTGCGCCAAGCCCCACCAAAGTTGAGGGGATCCTCTGCCATAAACTGTCCGATGTAGTCACCGATCTTGGAGACGAATTCCGGGGAAGCATACATTCCCGGCAGCCCATGGATCTGGACCCAGAACGGGATTGTGTCAAGCGCCACGTCCTCCGGTTGGATTCCCGGCGGGACCTGATCGCACACCAAGAGCTGATTGTCGAAAGCCCAAGGGCCATCGGCGATCACACGTTGCAGGTCTTTCGGATGGGGAACCTGGAACAGGAAAAGATCATCAGCCAATGTCACCGCGTACATGCCCATGACAGGACGCCAAACGGACGCTAACACCTGTTGCATATGATCGATCTTAATTGGGCGATCGGAGAGGAAGCGTCCAACAAGATTGTGTTGTATCGCTGCATCGGGGATGGTTGGAAGCTCCGGCGCCTCCAGTCCTCCTGTCTCCTCGTCGGCCAGTGAAAGCGCCGAACATTGTTGCTCCAGGGAACGAGCATCCATTCTGAAAATCACAGATCGGCTTGACGTAATTGATCGATAAAATTCGTGAGTGGTCGATGGATGCTGATACGAGAACACCGAACAGAGATAAAGGATTATGTATGTCCAAATAATCGCCATTAGGGACGAAGATATAAATAATGCCCTAGAATCCTAGGGAGAGATATCTCTCAGAGCACGATAGAGAGATGCCCACGATCGGAGAAGGTGATCGGAAAACGTGAACGAGGGATGCGAAGTTTACGGAGCGTTTTCGATTGTATGGACCATATTTGATGGTATAATTTGTCTATATATGATTGTTAATAATTAGCAAAATATTAGTTGGTCTTTTTCATAAAGGAATCCAAGAAATTAAAATTTAATAAGATAAGTTTACTTGATATACACCATCAAGTAATGAATAAAAGTTTTCCTAGTCACCCAAAAAAAAAAAAAAAACAGCCATGTTTGGTCATCCTCCCATATTGTGGTACAGAGAAGCTAGTATTCGGTGGAGTCTGGTTTACCACTAACGATTTGTTAATTAAGGGTAGTTCAAATTAATCCCATAAAACACATTATTTAATTCCAACATCACCAAACGTAACTGATGTCGTCACCACCCATTAATCTATGAAACAAGCAAACATTTATGTTCTAAACAATGTTGTTGATGAGGTCAGGTATGATGAGGGCGTTTAATCCCATATAAATACATGTCGCAGTCGTCTCTGAGTTTATTCTCAGATCAGGAAATTCAAAAGAGTTGAAGAAGAAGAAGAAGAAGAAGAAGAAGAAGAAGAAGAAGAAGAAGAAGAACAAAAATGGTTGCCCTTTTTTCTCCGATGTCGTTTCCCAACATGGGGTGGTCTATCGACGATTACATTAGCCATGAACAGTTCGGCACTGATCTCTACAGCAACGCCGCCGGCGACACTTCACCCGACGCGCCGCCGCCGCATTTTGTCTCTCTCCCCTCTTCTCCGCTGCCGCCGGCAATGGAGCGCTGCGACTCCCTGAAATTCGACGGCGGGTCGACTGACATCGGTAGTGGTGGTGGAGGTGGCGGCGATTCCGCCACCGCCGGCATGGTGAAGAAGCTCAGCCATAATGCCAGCGAACGCGACCGGAGAAAGAAAATGAATGGATTGTTCTCCTCTCTCCGTTCTCTGCTTCCAGCTTCTGATCAAAAGGTATATATGCATTTAACATTTTAACCCATAAATCAATGATTAACTTGACTGGAATTGTCACTAAGGCTCGGTTTGGAATGCAGGAAAATGACTTCTGGAAAATGATTTCTGAAAAATGAGTCATTTTTCAGAAAATATTTTCCTTTTCCAGTGTTTGGTTGCATTTGAAAAACTGTTTTGGTGTGTTTGGTTCATTTTCTGAAAAGTGAGTAGAATGGTATAATTAAATATTTTAATTATTTTATTCTGAATAAAAAATACATTTTAAATCTTTAAAACAAAAAAAAAAAAAAAAAACAAAAAAACAAAAAATAAAAAATAATTATGGCTTCCGGCGGAACTGGGTTCCGCCAGAAACCATACCCTATGGTTTCTGGCGGAAACCAGTTCCGCCAGAATCTTTAAAAAAAATAAAAAATGAAAGAGAAGTGGCGGAAGTCATTTTCCGCCAAATTGAGCTCATTTTCCCCAGTCAACGGAAAATGTTTTCCGTTGACTGAATTTTCCAGGTGTAGCCAAACATCAAAAATTCAGAAAATGACTTCCAGAAGTCATTTTTTGGGTTTCCAAACACAGCCTAAATATGTTTAAACTGATTAATTGCAGGCGAGGATGAGCATACCGACGACAGTATCGCGAGTTGTAAAATACATCCCGGAATTACAGAAAGAGCTGGAGAGGTTGCAGAAGAAGAAGCAAGAACTGACATCAAGAGTTAATTCATGGCAAAAAATTTCTAAATCGCCGCCTGAATTCAACAAGAGAAGAAGAGTGATGGGAGGTCATCATCATAATCGTCAGAGCTATTTATCAGCAACTCAAGTAGGTGAAAGAGATATAGTGATTCAGATCTGCAGCAAGAAAGGAACCCAGAATTTATTTGCAGATGCCCTCTCATGTTTAGAGCAAGAAGGCCTGGTTCTTCTGGACTCATCCACTTTTCAAACTTCTGAAGATAGAGTTAATTTCCACACACTGCATCTTCAGGTATATATACTTCACTATTCAAATTTAAATTCGACACAACTAAGTTGGTCAGATTGTTCACTTGGTAATCACAATGTTATAAATTTAATTCCGGAAAATGACTTATTAACTTTTTTAGTTTGAGCGGCTGATCAGCTATCCAGCAACCTAGGCTGATTTACCTCATTTTGATTCTTTGTTAACTAGGATTATAAGGCGAAGGTTTATCCCGTGCAGACCCTCAATAGTGGTTGCAAATTTCCCTCCCTTGTCACTAAAAAAAGATCTATTAGACTCATCCACATTTTCAGTAACGGTTGATGGTAGTTGGTTGGAACACTCGACTACCCAATAAAAATGATCAATATTTCTTACAAATTTTGACGGGTGATCAGAAAATTATGATCATCCGGAACCAAGATTGGAACACAAAACTACCCAATAAAAATGATCAATATTTCTTACAAATTTTGACGGGTGATCGGAAAATTCTGATCACCCGTAACCAAGATTTCTTAACATTATTATTAATTTAGATCAACATTTATCTTATTTCTTTGTTGTTTATGGTTGTTGTCTACAGGTGCAAGGAATTGAAATGATGGAGGTTGATAAGTTGAAGGAGAAGCTTCTGTCATATTTCAATGAGGAGCAAACTTGTCTATCATGATACAAAGTGATGTTAATTAATTGCATGTTACGTTGTTATAGTGTAATTAAACAAGAGTCTTATCCAAACTTGTGTTTTGTAATCAACTCTAATTGTTTTTAGTCTAACTAATTGCTTCTATTGATAATAATTAATCTACTAATGCAAATATTTTGGGGACATGAGAACGAAAAATGAATCAAACTCTTTAAGACTAATATCCAACGTAACGACTGTCCATATATAGATAGTTGATCTGGGCAAATTGTACCGTGTACCAGGATGCACAATGCATTGTGCGTCTTGGCTAAAAACGATGTTGTTTTATATAGAGTTTATTACCGAAATGGTCACTCGACTATTACAAAATTACTAATTTGGTCCTCAACAATTTTTCTTACCCAATTCAGTCCTCCGACTTTTATAATGTTAACCATTCTGATCCTCCGTTAAAATTTCATCCATAAACTGTTAAATTTAAGGACAAAAAAGTAATTTCACACATTTTATTTATTAAAGCCTTTTTTTTTTTTTGGTAATTTCACCATATCAGCGTGCACCTCCCAAATTTATTAAGCCTTTCTTCTTCGTCTTTCCACTTCTTTACCGTAAACCTCATCAGAATCCTTCGAATGGTCATCGAATCGGAATATATTGCAGTAAAGGCCTCGATCTTGGTAATTAAGTATAGTTGAACTTCGTGAACAAAAGCTTGCCGACACTGGTGATGAAGAAAAGGGGATGAAGAATCCGGTGAACTCTGTTGAACTCCGGCGTAAAAGGGGATGAAGAATCCGGTGGCCTCCTCCGGATCCATGGTTCTACGCTGGTGATTCAACATTCACTCGTGGTAAATCAGCTCTGCGTAGTACATATCCGTCCAGTACCAAGCCAGGAGGAGATTCTCGGGAACCACGTTCTCCAGCCCTTTCGCCGGCAGCCCAAATCCGCCATTAGTGACCACCTTGCATCTGGTTGCCTTCCAAGGTTCCAGCTCGTTGCAATTCTCTACGAGCTCGTAGTTGAACATTCGCGGAGTCTCATAGACATAGACCTTGCCGGAGCTGCAGTCGTGGCGGTGAGGCAACAGATGGTTGTGGCCGGAGGCGGACTTGGCGTGAGCTCTTCACCCAAGTGCTGCTTCTCTTCCTCTTCCCATCTAGGGAGGCCTCTTGGTACCTCACCTTTCCGCTGAAATATCTCAGACAGCTCTCCCACTCCCCCTACCAGGGCAAGAAGACCATGCAGATGCACATGGAGATTGCACAGCGCGCGCACTATTAACACTTGTTGATTCAGGAAGAACCCATAATTTCATTGATAAAAAAAACCGCCCAACTCCTAAATATGCCTATTCGAAAATGTTCTAGGATGCGAGTTACAGTTGCCAACAGAGAAATTGTTCTAGGAATGGCATAGGTGTCTATGAAGGTGTATAACTACAGAAAGGGTCTCTGAGTTTTTTTTTTTCAGAAACTTACTGCTGGAGATTTCTTGGGCTATGGAACTGGTCCCAGTCTCTTTCCCTCGCGAAATCCACCATTTTCTTTTGCAACTTACGACCTTCTAGTGTCACCAAGTCTGAGACTCCGTTCATCCCTCTCTACTTTTGCACCTTCTCCTCCCGGCCTCCTCCGAGGCCGCGTCTGAGTTGAGATTGCGCCGGTTTCTTTTTCTTTTTGCTAGATTTTGGGATTCATTAATCATTTAAGTTAATTAATTGGAAATGGGTCTTCTCACGTGAAATACCATCAGTGCCCTCTAATTTAACGGACTTCTAACGCCTAATCTAACAGAGGACCAAAATGGTTAACATTTTAAAAGTCAGAGGACTTAATTGGGTAAGAAAAATTGTCGAGGACTAAATTGGTAATTTCGCAATAGTCGATGGACCATTTCGGTAATAAACTCTTATATATATATATATATATATATATATATATATATATATATATATATATATATATATATATATATGTCCTGTTTCCCGTTTCTATCGTTAACTTGTAAAAGAAAAAATTATGTTTCGAAAGTACATAATTATATAGTAGAATACACATAAACTCCTAACATAATACATAATACACATAAACTTTTAACATAATACATATAAACTCTTAACATAATACACATAAACTCTTAACATAATACACATAAACACAAGTGTTAAAAAAAGAAAAAAGAAAAAAGAAAAACTGTAACGGGCGAAACGATGTCCGTCACGTCAACTCACCACAAAACTTATAAAAACGACGTCATTTTGGGCCAGGGCACAAACGATTGGTCAATCTGTGTATTGTATAATCCAAATTATAAATATTTTAAATTTAGATGATCTATTTAGAATTTACCCATGCTAAGAGCATCCATAATAGTGGAGATATTTTGTAGTTTTGAGGAGTTTTTGTAAGTGTAATTAGGAAAGAGGATATGTGAGGAAAGAAAAAAAAAATGGATTTGAAAATAAAAAGAGTTAATACCCAAAATCGTCATCGACTATAGTGGTTTTTCTCAATTTCGTCCTAAACGACTTTGGTGACCTAATATCGTCCCAGACTTTTGTGTTTCGCTCAATTTAGTCCCAGACTTTTGTGTTTTTGCTCAATTTAGTCCCTCATTTGTTATTCTGTCCATTTGGTGTTAAATAAATAGACAATTCAGTAATTTTAATATTGGCATCTCTTTACTCATAGACATGTGAATTGCGAAATCCCTTTTTTTTTTTTACGAATTACTCCCAGAATTACTCCTAAAACTGCGAATATAAAATTTGATTTGCAGGTTCGGGAGTAATTCTGGGTGTAATTCGTACAAGAAAGAGGAATTTCGCACTTCACAAGTTGAAAGTAAAGAGAGATCAATATTGACATTATTGAATTGTCCCTTTATTTAACACCAATTTGAAAGAATAACAAATGGAGGACTAAATTGAGCGAAACACAAAAGTCTGGGACGATATTAGGTTACCAAAGTCGTTTAGGACGAAATTGAGAAATACCACTATAATCGAGGACGATTTTGGGTATTAACTCAAAATAAAAATAATAAATAAAGCAGATTGTCAGGCGCACTGAGAAGCGCGCCACTGCACGCGCTCGGCGTGGATTTGCTGTGCGTGAAACGCGCACAACAACGTTTCTTTCCCTTAAATATTTACTATTCCAAAAACCTTTATTTGCAGAACATCTAATTTCTTCTCTCTTTCAACTTCTTTCTCCATCATGTCAGCCAATACTATTCTAAAAATCCCCAAATATCTATTGATGTTACTTTGGTTATTGGGTTTGGACTGCGGTGTTAGGCCTTCTAATATCTATTGAATTGGGCTGAGTGGATTGAGCCAGTTACTAAGATTTCCCCATAGGCTTATTTTACATGGTTTTTTTTTTTTTTTTTTTTTTTTTTTTTTTTTTTTTTTAGAAAATATCATTTTTAGTCCCTCGACTATAATATATATATTAGTTTTAGTCCTTGACTATTAAAATTTTCAATTTTCTTGCATGACTATTCAATTTGTATCACATTTGGTCCTTGACTATTAACATTTTCAAATTAGGTGCATGACTATTTAATTTGTATTACATTTGGTCTTGTCGTTAAATTTTCCGATAAAAGTTCCGGCCAAGTCACATGTGACGGGCTAATTTATTTAATTTTTATTTTAAAATTATTTTAATAATTTTTAAATTAAAAACTTTAAAAATAAAAAAAAAATGACAGCCACCTCGCCCCCTCCTCATTCGTCTCTGCCGGAGGCGAAGGAAGAAAGGGGTGGGGTGGCCGTCGTTCTCTTATCTCCATTCTTCCTTTGTCTCCGTCGGAGACGAAGAAGGAAGGGGGAAAGAGAACGCCGGCCACCCCCCTCCTCCTTTGTCTCAGCCAGAGACGAATGAGGAGGCCGGGTGGGGGGCATTTTTTCATTTCATTTTATTTTATTTTAAAGTTTTTTATTTTAAAAAATTTTAAAATAAAAATTAAATAAATTAGCTAGTCATCGGTGGCTTAGTCTAAATTTTGACCAAAAAATTTAACGTCAAGACCAAATGTGATTCAAGTTGAATAGTCATACACTTAATTTGAAAATGTTAATAGTCAATGACCAAATGTGATACAAATTGAATAATCATGCACCAAAATTAAAAATTTTAATAGTTAAGGACTAAAATTGATACATATATTATAGTCGAGAGACTAAAAATGATATTTTCTCTTTTTTTTTTTTTTTTTTTTTTTTGGTTTTAAGTCAACAATGCCTTTAATTACCTTCAGGTAATTTGTAAGATTTAAACTTTCCAATTTATCTATTTTGGAGGTTGAAAGTGGAGGGAATATTTATGTACGGCAGTTTCAAATTTAAAGCAGACACATTTTGCGTTATAAGAGAGACAAAATTTAATTAACTGTATTTAATTTTCAATACATGCACACGCGTGGGTACAAACACATGAGAATTTGTTTTCAATATATAGAAAACTAAAAATCCATTTTAATCGTTCATTTGAAAAATCTAACGAATATGATGTAATTTGGATAAGTACTAAAACCTAAACAAAAAGAAAATGTAAATCATAAACCGAAATTGTAAATACTAAACCATAAGCACTAAAATGTGAACCAAGTTAACAAACTAAAAGGTGAAATCTAATTGTATTTTAAAATTGACTAAAATGCATGATATAGTGTTGAAAAGTGCACTTTTAAATTTGGAGATAAAAAAGTTACAAAAATGTCACTTATTTATTTATTTATTTATTTTTCTTGGGTTTTCTCGTTGCTCTAGAACCATTAAATTTGGCCAGGATTATATGAGAACTAGTAGCCTTGTGAGAGCATGTGGATTAATTTCATCTATCCATCTAAGATGATAAAGAGTTAAAAAAAAAAAATTAAGAAAAAAATATAATGACATTTATGTAATTATGATGGTGCATTTAGAAATGTTATGGTTGATAATTCATTCGTAAATAACTAATAGTGCACTTAAGTTTAATTTTATAATAATGTACTCACGTGTGTCATTGTAATTACAGAAAGTCAGAAACGCTACGACATTTTTCTCCCCAATTTTTCTTAATTTTTAACACTTGATAATTGAGTTAATTCCAGCATTGGTCCTCCGACTATCGTG